GACATGTAATGGCAATCGTGGTTGTCCCACCACTAGATAAATCTCTAATGCCATTATCCTGGCAAATCTTCACGACTAGGTTCCATTCCTTCTCCCTTAGCAATCGCAGCCGACTTCGAAAAGTCTAATTTAGACGGGTCTATTTGCCAATCACACTGTACAGCAGGAAGGCCCTGCAGAATTTGTAATACAGAGTAGTGTTAAAGAGAAATATCATATGTACAAATGTTTGAAGGTCGAATAAAAGAGAGATTAAAACAAGTATACTTTGGCTAAAGATTTAAACAAATTATAGGCATGACAGTAATACAAGCAACAAGACTACTTTGGCATTTGTGGTTTGTCACATTTATTAAGATATAACCCATAAATATATTTGAGATTTTATTAACCAATTATAATTTAATATTCATATTGGTTAAAAATTTGAGTTAATATAAATATTCCAATGTGTTACTTAATTATTGACACAAATTGAATTACTTCCATTGTATTACACATTTATCAACTCAAACTACATTAATCAAATTTTTTTTATAGACGAATACACAACCTGATGAGAAGCATACGAAATATCATAAATGTTGCAAAAAATTGTAACTTTATTTTTTCAATGTAAGAATGTCAATGGGCATCTGTCTGATCGTAAAAGTCATACCAAGTACAACAGGTTACTTTGCATTGTTGTTCTTTTATCAAACTGTAAAGCATATCTAAATTTAAATACATAACTATAACATAGAAAAATTGTTATAGCAAATGGGATATTTGGGAAAAGATCAGGAGAAAATGCCAAGAAAGAAACTCAATAGTTGGAGGATGATCGATTATGGTAGATGTGGGATAGGAAGGATCATTTTAAAACTTAAAAAAAAAAACAGAGATGGTGGTGGCTGGGAAATGATAATTAAGTGTCTAATAATTGAGATTTAGAAGCTGGAAAAGAATAATTAGCTAGTAAGTACTAAATAAAAATGGCTCTTTTTTATTTAATAGAGACCGAGAGAAAAGGGAAGAATCTCAACTCTTGAAAAAATTTTGGAGTAAATTGATTCCATTGAAAGTTTTTTTTTTTCCTTTGGAAATTGTTTAATAAGCTAATTCCTTTCCCTGAAGTATTGCAAAAATTAGGTTTCAAGTCTCATCTGTCCCTTGTCTTTCTATCTTAAATCAGAAGAAAACATGTATCACATATTTTTTGAGTGTTCAAAGGTAAAATAGGTATGGATTTATTTTACATCAATTATTGGATTTTTCTTGCCATCAAATGCAGATTTATAGAGTAATCTACAAGCCTGGTATTCTGTGGGTAGTTTTACCTCAGCAAAGAAATTAGTGATAATGGTATTGTCATCCTTTACCCTATGGGAGATTTAAAAAATGCATACTAAAATCACATTTGATGGTATGATCTTTTCTTATGAGAATGTGATTCATGGAATTAAATCTAATGTGTGCCAAATGTTGAGTATCTATGATTTACAAGTAAAATCCACTGTGGAGCCTAAAGAGTTTGAGGATATTTTCACTATTAAATTATTGGAGCCACCAAAAAAGAAGATCATATCTTTAAGCTGGAAGCCACCAGAATCAGTGGGAAAAACTCTCAACACAGATGGTTGGAACAACCGGGAGCAGCTGGATGGAGATTCATACTAAGAGGGGAAAAGGAACATTTATCATAGCTAAAGGTAAACTGATGGGTGTCGAGACCACAAAAAAAAAAAACCTGCTTAAAACTTGTAGTAAATGATAAGAAGGGTCGATCCCACAGAGACGAGAACAATACACATTCTTGAAAAATAGTACACATTGTGAAATATAAATTGTATTATTTGTATACATTTTCTTAGGACAGAGGAAATAAAAGATAATAACAGAAATTTGTATAATGATACATAACTAGAATTATTTCCGTAGTTGCACGGATTGTATTAGATATATGGCATAATATTGCATAATTCTTTTTTCGTGTAAGTGAAGCATTACTGTCCCAACCTAATATAATTTGTATCGAGTTTTGTAATGTAATAATTCTTGACCATGTTGTGTTCTTTGAATTATATTTATTTTTTTTACAAATTTTATATTTAATATTCAAGTTAGTCTAGATTTTAAAGAATTTATAATACTATGCCTTATTGATGGCACAATTTTTGAAATAATAATTGATAAATTACATAATAACACGCTAATCATAAATTCATAATTTTTTTTCAAATAATTTCAATAAAGTCACCATAGATTTTGGTGAACTCAAAATGAAATAAATGTTTAAGTTTATGTAAATTTAAATGTTAAAATATCTTTTATGTTAAGATCAAGCATTTACTAACTCTTTATACATCATCTTACGCTAATTTTTTTCAAACTTAAAATATAGTCCAACATGAAAACACTACAAAAATGAAAATTTAAATAGTAAAAACCTGAATCATTTTAATAAAATTATTGTTCAAAATTATCATTAATGTGTTATGACTCGGGGTTAAAGGGTGTCTTACGATTAGGATATGAGGTTAATAATCAATTTTTAATTAATGAACATGTTAAATAGTAAACTTAACTTAATTAATTTACAAACTTTTGTACACTTTAATGAAGGAAGATTTTGGTAACAACACATGACACAAATAGATCTAAATCGTTCCATTATACGACACGTGGCACAAATAGCTCTAGACTAACCATTGCGCTACACTTGTCGATTGAAAACTCTCCTTTAATATATATATATATATATAGAGAGAGAGAGATTAAGAATAACGATACTAATTATAAATGTTCAAATTCTTTAAAAAGGGTTTTTAAGTTTCGTATACTGAGGTGGATTTTTTTTAAAAGAAAAAGAGTTTTAAAATTTATTTGATAACTTCTTTTTGGTATTTTATTAAAAATACTTAGGCGTGATGATAACCACTTATATGATTTTGGAGAGAAAATTTTGTAATTTCTAAAAAATAATGATGATAAACTTAAATAGGAATAAGGTTTTAATGACATTTTTGTCTTATAGTTTGTGTGAAAATATTTTGTACATGTTTTTGTAAATAATACTATTCTCTAGCAAAAAGATCAGTGAATTTATAATGATCATATTTCAATTAGTTATTACGCATGAGATAAGATACAAGACAAAAATGTTACACAGAATATCTTTTATCAATGGCGAAAATGCAATTTGGTAGGTTCAAATACTTTGTCACTGCTAACAAGTGATTATTCTAAAGCAGCAACTCACAATATCGTGTATTTCTTATGTTGTACTCTTTTTGCCTAAAATAATTGTCTAACTTTAATTTTCATTGCCCAATTTGAATAAAAATTCATATTCAAATTAGATAACCATTTCGAGTCGGAAGGAGTATGTTTCTAAAAATTTTAATAGATACTCATAAAATACAGTTTTTCTAGTGCTTTCAGCATTTCTAACCAACGGAGAGTGTCATATTTCCATAATGACCCCAAGAGTACACAAGCACTGAGTTAATGTAAAAATTCATTTATCTCCATGAGCCTTCATATGCATAAAAAAATGGTTCTATTGCAGAGTTTTCTTTTTTTAAAAAAAAAAACTCTAAAAATGGTCACATTGGGAAATATCCATCCAGTATCCATGAATAACTCACACACCAGTTCACATTTATATATTTGTCAATTCGGAATAAAGGTAAGTAGCATAAATTATCATCACAAACACAATGAAAGTCTTTTTATCCCCTAATTTGCATAGTTCTGGAACTGGACAACCAGGTTCAAGAGCTTATGGGAACGATCCCTTCAGTTTAAGATCTTGCGAGAAAGATCTCATAAAACTGGTTCTACCAACCTAGACTTTTGCATTTGAGAAGTGTGATTCATATCATAATACCAAAAAAAAAAAAAAAGGACTTGGAATTTTTGTCTCTAACTCTCAATGGCTGATCAAACTATTAACAAAATGATAGTGCTAACTGATCCTGCCATTTAACAATATACATTTAGGTAAATTAGGCCCTATTGGGTTCGGCGAGGAAGTTCAGGCATCAAAAGTCCATCCCAAAGTCACACCACAATATAGAGCAGTTGCTTGAGTTACTGTGCAATTTTGTACTCTTCATCTTATCATTGTTCCAAAAGATGATTTTTGTCTTATAGGTTCTTTTTCTGTGGATCAATGTTCGATCTTATCAAATGATTACCCTGTGTGTAGTGATTCATGTTGATAGGACGAGTGGGAAAAACAAAAGAAGAACTTGTTGGCTTTATAATTGATTTCAAACATTTTGTCTCATATCCAAGATCCTTTGGCATTTAATTAACCCAAGTTGACCGATCACATCTCTCTTGCTGAATCATAGCTAAAAATTCCTCACTTCAAACTAATAAAATCCTTAATACAATCCCTTCATATGTGCATGAAAATTATTTATTTATTAACATGCATCTTCAAAGATAGACAAATGTCCTATCCTGAATATCATAATGAAAAAGTAGTAAAAATTTTGCAAATGCTGAGTTGACGAGAAATTTCATTCTTGAGGAAATTTAGGTGTTGTGTTGGCAATTAAGCCCATTGAAAATCGAGGTGTTGATGTTCTAACTCAATGCATTAGAATAGGATGTATTGCATCTCAATCTATAAAAAGTTTGAAGCTTCTATAAGATATATAACGAACATATTTGTATCAATAGGTTGTACTTCAACTCAACTTATCATTGTGAAACACATTTGATTATTATTATACAGCAATATCTCACCATTCTGAGAGGAGACATATCTTCCAGGCTGAGAGGATTTCCCACCTGTGGCTTTTTTGAAGAATTGCATCATCTAAACTCATCAATTTGTTCACCAAAAAAAAAAAAAAATCTCTCAGCTTTTTTGTATCCATATCATTCAGATTTTTAGTTTGAAGGAGTAGGCGCAATTAGATTATATTTTCTCTTTTCTTCCCCAAAAAAATTCGATATCTAAAGTTTAAACAAATTCGATAAATACAATTACAAGTTTGATAAGATCCCCATACAAGGAAAACTACATGATCAATGATAAACAAAGACAGCCCAACTCATATCTTTGTCAATAAAAAACATAACTAGGTTGAGCACACCCAATTATGATGATGATTCACTGTAGAATAGCCTGTTATGTGAAAACTCAATCAATCCCACCAGGAGCTGCAGTAGGAGGCGTCTCGATCGCCTTGTGAGCATCGATCAGCTCTAAAACCAACTTCTGAACCATGAACACCTTACCCTCTATGGCTGCCTGTGACTTGGCTGCCTCAACATCATACTGTCTAGCGTACCTCTAAAAGTAGTGGTCGAACACAGAAGGGGAAGTCTTCAGAGCCTAGCTAAGGCTCCTGCAGTCAACCCCAAACACAGGCAAAAACCACCACCCCCTTAGAAGTCTTCTCAAAAATCTGCTCTGCAAGAGGCTCCTGGATATCCTTCTCCATGTCATCCCACGAGTTTGAGTGGAAAGACTGGATATCCTTAAACTCCCCGAAAAGGTCTCTATGGACTACAAACTGAACTGTATTATCCGCAACGGAAGAGTTCGGAATAGCTCTAGGCCGCAACTTTGTCATCCGATCCACCAAATGTGAAGTCACTACCTGCTCCTTCGACCCGTGCTGCCTCATGTTTCGGAACCTCCGAAAAACTCTACAAGCAGTAGCAGCACTATCGTAAACCCTGGCCATTTCAAACAAAGAAATGCCACTTTTTTATCACCAATTTTGAAATCTTTCACTCCACGTCCAACTTCCACAACCTCTCTGTAAGGAAAAAATTCGTCACCACAGATTACATTAAAATCACCGAAAAGTCACCGAAATAGATGATTGATCGATGAAGGAGAACATTGGAGAAGAGGACTATCTAATGCTAGAGGATAGATTATATTTTATGTTAATACTTTTGGAACAGGAAGCCAAAACCAAACCTCTCCCAACGAAAGAAGAAAAAAAAAAAAAACACTTTCCCACGTGATGTTTCCTTCCAAAACTTACAGCGTGAACCTTTAATATGCCTATAAAAATAAAAATAAAAAAGAAAAATTAAAAAAAAAAAGGGGACAGAAAGATGAAGGGTGAGGGCTGGGTGCGAGAATACTTATGTAATGTGAACTATTGGGCAAAAGTGTCGTGGAAGATTTTTTGTGGATAACATACCAACAATGTGATTACGTAGGTTGAAATGCAAAAACTCTACTTTCTAGTGACAACTCTAACAATGATATTTTGGGAAAACATATAAGTACTCTACATTGTAGTGACCACTAACAAACAATTAGCACATGAAAGAAATGTTTTACATTCCTCCAATACTTGTTCTTGTTTTTGTGTTTGATTTCCAACACTGCAATACTATTTATGTTCTTTCAATGTCAGACAGAATTCTTGGCGATGACACTCTCTAATCAAGGCACATTCCACTTCACACTCTAATCAAGGCGAATTCGGCTTGAAATATGTCAATAGTTTGGGTTATATTCATCCAGTCCAAAAAGTGTATCAAACTTAATGCCACTTTCGCTAGTTCACAAACTCTGCAACACTGACGAAGTGTAAGACAAATTTGATCTATTTGAGTAACAAGAGAAACACCAAAGATTCTCTTGGCCAAAGTGGCCAAGTCCTAGAACAAACCTCAAACTATTGTTTCGGGTTGAAATGCTCAAAAAAGACGATCTATTTCAACTCAAATGACAATATTGTATCGACAAAGTCACGTGAGTTATGATGTATAACTAACATCATCCAATAATGCCCAAGTGTTGTGAAAATTTACCAACTCCGATATGTTTGCCCAGAAGTGCCAGCATGGAAGTAATCGATACAATGTCCAGTTTTTGCATCTCAACCTACCTCATGAACTCAAAGTTTCAACAATATCTTTACCACTTTGAAGAACCAAAAAACATGCTCGGTTCAATGCATAACCCTAACTACGAGTCTGGAGAATGTAACTAAGTGCTTTCCCTCCTCTGTGACATGCTTTGGCTTTTACCAAAAGAAATGCATACATGGTTCCTCTTAACCCTTTCAGATGTCTGCGCTTTGCTTGACCTTCCCTCTCAAGAACTGCAGTATGTGCTCACGTTTCCAATTATCAATCCTGTAACCCCAACAAGCAAGAGTGAATTGTCTACTAAAGTTGCAAACTTAAACTACAGGAAGACTTCCCAAAGGAAATAAGAAATCATTCCCAATAATTACTTTTTAAACAGTGGTATTCACTTATAAAATTTAAACCTGAGACAAAATCCTCTACTTCATTTTATTACACTGGTATCGAGTTAGGAGGAAGATTGTGAAGAGACGATAACAAATTAGGGATTGTGGTAAACGTGGAATAAATGCAGATACATGCAGGAAGAACTCTATAGACTCTATACATGGTACATTTTCAAAGTAACAATAAAACCTGGAATGGTCAGGGCAAAGGCTTAACTCCAACAACTTGTAGTAGCTGCTTTACAAAACCAGTTTGAACAAAAGTTAAAAGGAGAAAGATAAGTATACCTGATTGTTTCCTTGGATTCTCCATCATCATCCAGCAAGATCAACTTCGGTGGTGAGTTAAATGTATATTGAACTTTTACTGAAGGGAACTTGTCCTTCTCTTCTTCTATGAAGCCCACAATTTCAGGATAAAATACAAGTCTTCTCATACACACCTCTAAAAGTGCTCCAGAATAGATGACCTGCATTAACATAAAGACTAGTCATAATCATTCTCAATATTTTCACTGCCAAGTCAAACAAAGACAATAAGAACATGTTTGCATATCTACGCAAAGTATAAAGGTTGTACATATTGACGTGAATTGAACAGAGGAATGATAAGGTGCAACTTCAACACAACTCAGTATCCAACAAAATACTACTAAATTTGGCAGTTCACTGGATCTGATAAACAACACATTGCCAACAGTTGTTTCAACATTCAAGAAATAGGGTAAAAATAAATAAATAAATAAAAATACCTAAACAACCCCGAGAAGACTCATGAGTATTCAAAACAAAACGAGCATTTAAGAATGTACGTAATTGTACTAACCATTTGAAGAAATTCTAATAATCTCAAACTGTAACAGATTTCTACATTTTTTGTAAGTGGTTTTCTTCTTTTGACAATGTTACTCCTGAACGAGGATTCTGTGAGGACTAGACACCACGAAGATAATTGATAGGTACATATCACTTTGAGAGGTAACGGTTGCTATAGCCTTGCAGTTTTGTAGGAAAATTGATCTAATAATCAACTCCCTTCGCAGCTCAATGGAAAGCCTTAAAGGTACAACTGTTCGGTGCTTGAATTCAATAAGCACAAGCTAGCTAAAACTGATAATCTGTTTGTCCAATGAAACAGACAGATATTCAAATTACCCTAGACATAAGAAAGACGAAGGCCACAAAAAAGGATGATACCAAAACAAATCTTCCGAAAGTTAATAGATTTTTATCCTGACGCTCAAAATATTCGATGACTTCATCAGGCAGTAGATGAATTTCACTGCTACATGAAATACATCTTTAGCAGATGAGTTCTGTAATACAAACACTACCCAACAGCAAAGGAAGAAACAGCAGGCGATAGGCCAAATAAGCATCAGTTGGGAAATGTAGTCAATATGTCAGTCCTCCAATCGTCATGAATGAAATATCAAAGATGTTCCCTCTGAAAGCTAGTGTACGTAATAAATTAAATAGAAGTTATACTGTTGAGTACTCAACGTATGTCACATGCAAAGTGATGGAAGACAGTCAAATAAATCATAAATATATTACATTAAGTTAAATTTCCGAGGCTTAGACAAGGATGCCTCTCCCATAACCTGAAACTTGCCCATACAATTAACTAAAATAAATAGTGAAAAATTATCCTGGTGGAGAAACTTCTCCATAGAATGGGAAAAAATAGAAACACTCCCCCACAAAGATGATGCGATTAAAAGACAAAATTAAGATAACAGAATAAAAACCAACTAAAATGTAAGGAGTTACCTTACTCATAGCATCAGCAGAATCTTCGGTGCAACACTTTCTGCAATCAGATATCAATTCTGCAAATAATTAAAATATACATTAGGCAAACCTGACAAAAAGAAGAATGAAAGGAATAGAGGGAACGGTTGACTAAATTACATAATGACCTCACATGAGTAAGAACATTAGATGGATAACACTGAACGTTATAACTGACAGAAAATGAGCTACTGGAATACGTTAGATACAGTAAAATCTAAGCGAGGGAGAAATGCAACTCATGATCCTATGACATTTTTAGAACATTGTCAAAGCACTAACAAGCAATCCAACAACAATGAAAGATATGGTAACAAGAAGTTCTGGGATGATCAAACTGGTAGTAAGAATTCCATCATATGCTCATAGAGAAAGAAGTTACGGCCAATATTGGAAATATCCAGTTGGTGACGTACCAAATCTCTTTAGAGGCTTAATTACCAGTAATATGGACTATCTACATCATCAAAGAGAATAGAACACTAGATAAACTAGCTCTCTCTTGCTTGGAATGGGACGATTAAGTGCAGATGAATGTTAATTTAATGTCTAAATTTCTCACTGCACAAAAACTAGCAGACAAGGTTATTAAAATAAATTTTTGCTATTTCTCCATAAAAAAGCATATCACTTCCAAGAAGAGGGGCAAAAAACATCAAAATCATTACTGAAAACGGGAGCAAGAGTGAGGTGGTGATACTGACACAGCATGAGACACTGTAGTTTGAATCTAATTCAAAACATATCAGTAACCAGCTTTTTAGAATACTGACATTTTGCAGGAGGAAACTTTGGTCCTCAAGTCTACAGAGGGTGAGAAGCTAATCCAAAATTAGATCATCAGAAGGTTCTCGTGACAAGTTCAAGCAAAATGGACCATTTCTACAATCCACTAATCCAATACGTAGTAAACTGATCCTGAATTTTCAGTGTTCTACCTCACCCACCCCCATCCTTTCTTCCTCCATAATGAAAAAATTAAAGGGAAAAAGGTTTACATCTCACAGCATTGGCCCTAAAACAAGTGTTTCTTCTGAAATACTTCATCATGCCAAACTCTTTCAGAAATGTAAAAATTCTATAACACTTCCTACATGCCGTTCATCTTCCTTAATACTCCACCAAACTCTAGTAAAATTGTCCATAACGGAAACATAAAGTGAGGCAGTTTAACTCTTTATCTGCATCATTTGGGACTTTCAAATATGCAAGTTACTGAGATGAAATCAAAATCACACATTGCAAATTTAAAACCGAACAGAAGGAGGCCAACCAATTCAAGGTTATGCAGAATGAGAAAAGGGAACTCTCAGTTTTCTCAGTTTCTTTCCTCTTCTCAATCCTGTTTTTGAAGGTGTTCACAAGCGAAGTGGCTGTTGCCGCAATGCAAGGAACGCAATGTAAATGATGATGCTGCAAAATTAATTATCGAAATCATGAATACATTCATGAAACTCAATTTTGATTAACCCAATTCGAGGACTATGTTCAAAAATCTATATACCGGGAGCAAACATTGATGTCAGCCAGCCTAACATAAGACTTATCCGTGTCTTTAAAAAAAGCGTCATGTTAGAATAAAATTTGTGGCATCCACAAAACTTATTTTCCAGTAGAGCAATACCAGATACGAAAAACCAGTCACACTATCAACCTCAGGTAAAGTTGAACAGACTACTATCTCAGCAAAAATTCTAAGCATGAAAATCACTTGAAGTCTGACTGGGAGTAATCAGAATCTAAGGTAATGTTACACGGAAAAGTGGTCGAAAATCTATACAGGTTTGTCAGAATGCAAGTACATAAGGCCTCTAAAATTAAACTTCCGTGACTATTGGTTGATGAAGTGAACTCGAAATTATAACTAAAAAGACGGCCTAATTTCACTAATATAAATTTTCAAACAGAACGGTGTAGCCTTAAGTAAATCAGACGTAAAGACGCTTAATCAGAACATAAAAGTAAACATGATCTTTCATTGTTTTGGCCTTCATCGTTGATAATCAAGGATCCAACTCAAAAGCAACATGAAGGAGAAAACTAGAGATATCTTATAAAGTGGAGGCACCAATTTAAGAATTCAATCGACGGCAACTGTAATTCTAACTAGAATATCAATTTCCAGAATAACATTTGTGATCATACAGTTAAAATGAAAAGAGTCGGTTAGGATGCCTAGGACTCTACCTACAAGTAAACAAACGTGGCTAAACATCAAAGTTAACCAAAAGATCTTACAAGCACATTAAATTTCCAAGCAAAAGAATCCAATTATATTAGCAGAACGTAACAATTGAATCAGAATTAAACTAATTAAAAGGCACAAGTTTTCATAAATTAGGAACAGGACCCTAATAGGTGGGAAAGTCTGATTGCCCAAACGTAAAAGGGATTTTTTTTTTCTCAAAAAATGATCAACCCAATCAAAACCCAGAACTAAAAACAGCTAAAAATCACGATTCCTTCCGAAATGAAGAAAAAAATAACTCAAATTCTTGCTGATAAAAAAGAAAATACCTGGGTCTTTGACATACTCGGCAAAAGTGGTGCAGTCAGAGCAGAGAGCGAGTCCAGTGAAGCCCAGATTCTCACACTCTTTGGTGCTGAGTTGCTGCTGTTCTGATCTCAATGGAACCGCTCCAATCATCGCTACCAACAGCACCAACAGCAGACCCATTTTTGTTTCAATTAAAGATCGCTGAAACGCAATGTTGTAAGACCGAGCGAGAGAGAATTGGTACAGAGAAAATTGACTAACAGAGCCCTTTCATATTTCTATGTTGGGCCTAGTGGAAAATATAAATACATCATTTAAACGGCATTCTGAATTCTTGTAGTATTATTATTATTATTCAACGCAAAAACAAAAGAAAAACTTTATTATTGTTAACAACTTAAACATCCCAACAAACTAGGCAAAATAATACTCTCTCATGTCCTTATTATAATATATTTTGATTTGTTTTAAATTTCATCCAGTAATATGCTTCTAATTAAAAAAAATTAAATGTTTTTAGAGTAATTGAGAAAACACAATAAGCGTAAAAAATACATTTTTAAAGTTTTATTTTTAATTAGAAAAATATACTAAATGAAATTTAGGAGAAATAAAAATGTTTCATACTCCTTCTATCCCAAAATTATAGTCTTTGAGGTGTTATTTTCAATATAATTTGAATTAAAAATTAAAAAAAAAAATTAAATTGAACAATAATTTTGGGACTGAAGTATAATGAGGATCAGAGGGAGTAAGTAGTAAGTAACTTTTTGGAGACAAAAATAAAATCAATTTATTTTTATTTTCATTTTATTTATTTTTTTGGATTTTTGGTTCAAATGGTTGAGTCCCTAGGTTAGTTATATATTTTCGTTAGTTACGGTATGATTGTTTTGAGTGAAAACCATCCAGTATGCATCTTTTTGTTCACAGTAAACCTGGATAATTGATCTCCTTTCTAAGTTCTAACTATGCAAAATCCAAGCTTCCTGTCAAATTATCATTGTATCATCCGTGGCCTTTTTCTCTATCGGTATGGAACAATTCCTTGGGGATATATAATATGGCTCCGATATTTTGCCGGAGAAGTTGAGAGCTCAGGGGAGAGCTACAATGAAAGAGGTAAGGAGAAAGAATGAGGAAGAATCAACAAAAAGGTACAAAAGAATATTACAAAACTTCGACAAGAGGGAGAATTCTAGCACAAAAAATATTACAAAAAGTACCATCACAAGTACAATAGTTTAAACAAATAAGACAATGCCTTACCAGAAAATTCCAAATGGTTTGGCACAAGTATAATCATACCGAAATTCAAAAGGATTTTTTTTTTCTTTTTTTTGGGTTTTTTTTAAAGAAACCACCGAAGCACCAATGCGTTTCATAATAATGTTATTAAGAGGACTATGAAATTACAAGGCACCACTTTGTTCTCTATAAAGGAGAATAGGGTGGGGAAAAAGCGCAAAATCGACAGCCCTAATACAAAAATTACAGAGGCTCCCCCACACTTGCTACTTTCTAAACCAGTAAAATCTACAAGCTCAAAAGCTCTATAAAACAAAAATAAGTTAAGGGTTTTGATCTTCTTTTCCTTTTGCAAAGATGGTATTGCCTGATTTATAAAGTCACTGAAGGAGAGGGAGTGGTATTTTCAGCTGTAGAGGTCGAAGTTTTCGACTTAACAAAAGAACGAGCGACTTCCAACATAACATCCACCTCTTTTTTATACTGCACAATGTGACAACACCCGACTTTTTGTGTTACTATAATGTCATACTTCCAGGAAAGTAAATGTAAAATGCTTCAATATAAGTTCAATTGCAATCACAAACACGAGACTTAAAATTCTGAAACCAAAGCGTACCTCGTTGATGGCACCAGCCTTAATTTTAGACTGCATCACACACCATTTCTTGAAATGTGCCCCTATGACATAATACAAGTGAGAAATGCTGGTTGCAAAAAGTAGAAAAATGAAAAACTCTTACGATCCTAAAAGATGGAGTCAAATTTGCACAATGTAAGATAAGAACATGAATGTATGCAGGAATTGAAAGATGCCAAGAAAACATAGTTGATTTTGCAAAGCTCCAACACAACTAGAGGTTGATGCACTAAGTCAAACTTATATCTTTCTGACCTAAGAGCAAGAATCAGCATTGTGTGTGGAAGTCATTCTTTGTCCAGTGGCAATTTAGACAATTTTTCATAAAATGCGGTAAAAACTTCATTAAATAACGGCAACAACTTAGTCCAGCAATGTTAATCACTACAGGAGACTTAAATAATTTCTCAGCCAATGAAAACCATTCCCCCACTCCAACAACTAGATCCCGATATTGGAAATCAAACTCCTCAAATGAGAAAGCATCACAAAGAAAGCCATAGCAGATCATCGATGGAGTTTTTGCCAGATGAACTTTATATGCTTTGTGCATGCTTTTTGAATGCCAGATGAACATTAGAGACCTTGTAAATGCTTTGTGAATTTAAAATGCACATTACATGAAATTCAGGAATTGCTTTACAAGAATGCTAGAGCAGGTTGCTCCGACAAAAGTGCCTTGGACTATCAAATAAATGCATAAGAACCACCAGATGTCAAGGTATAAAAGCTATACAATCGCCAAATAAAGTGCAAATAAGTTAAACAAGAACCCATAGATATGTCATGTAGGAGAAGCCTTACCCACTCTTATATCCATGTGGCACGAGGTGTCAGAAATCGTCTCCAGAGTCCATCTGCAGTGAACCTGCCATAGGAGAGCAGTCAATCAAACCCTACAACCTCCTAAATTGACTTTCGGATTGCAACAACCCCATGACCATCTTCACATGCATAATCAAGAGTAAGGCTAGAAAAAGAATTGACACAAAAATAATGCATGTCAATCTTGAACACTGTGAAAATGTTAATACCATCACAATCATAATTATGACTTCTAAGTTATTATCACACTGGTCATTCAAGCAACTTAATTGATAGTTTATGTTACAAATAATTATAGCTCCACAAAACTGTGATGATTCATATACTTCTTCCGACTTGTGTGATGCCTCCCAGAGATCTACATATATGGAGACGAAAGGAATTCTTAAACCCAGACTTCTTTTTCATACTTTGAGATCACATTGGTACATGATTATACAAATATTTAATATCAACTTGGTGACTCCATGAAAAGGATGACGACTTTTAATTGTTTCAGAGAAGCTTGTCAAGTACTGGATATTTCTTTCTGCCAATCAAAAAAAAAAAAAAAAATGTTCATGTAAACCTCAGAGACATGCATCTGCCAAATACCACTAAAACTGAGACGTTACATTCAAGGAAAGCATATTAGTTTCACATTAGGTAATTCACACAATATACAGCTATAACATGGGTAGATAACCAAAGGTAATTTTAAAAACTCGGGAAAGAAAAAATCAGAACCAAACTCAATACGAGGATATGGTTAAGACTGGGCTACCTCAAAATATGATCCAAAAGGAACATCATGTGCCTGCTGTACGGTCTCAAACACCTGTAGTTAACAAATTTTTTAAGGAAAAGTATCATAAAATAAGACAAATATAGCTAAAAAGTCTTTGTAAATAAGTCGACAAAACGAAACAGACCAGCAACTTTTTATCTGAGGACAGAACTGCGTGTTGATATTCTGTCATTGCTGTATCAGGAGGACACATTGGGCTGTGACACAATGATCTAAAAGTGATTTCTCTGACTTGACCATCGTACTCATCCGCAGCATGCCATTGACCCATCTGAAGTCAGCATTACCAATTTGTAAGTTTCCAAATTGAAATGCTACTAGATAGCTAGAATGTAACAACAGTTTCCCCTACCAATATCCCCAGGAAGATACACTCCAACATTTATAAAAGGATATGGAAGGCTCCAGAAACTATGCTTCAACATTATGGAAGGAAAAAGCCCAAACTTTTACCAAAATCAAACCTTACACACATAACAATATCTTTGAGCTGCTTTTGGATGCAAACTGAACATCTGATAATGCGATCTATCTAAGCAGTTCATTCATCAAGTCAGTTGTCCTATTCAGTCTTGATAACTAAGTACCTGTACACTAACAACTCATAATGACAATCTTTATCATACTTTGTTATCATGGGTGACTTGTCTGGCTCATACAAAATCCTGCTACCATCATTTCAACTAGTATTACACAAATTTATAGAGCATAAGAAGAAAATTTTACCATTGAATATACAGTTCAAAGTTTCTATGGCCCGTGCAAAATAGCAACGATAATTAAAGCCAGAAAGCCACAACAATATTCCCAATTACTGCATATTCATTCAAATAGCTTGCCCTTGTATGTTGATTACACGATAATTGATCGTGTAGATAATTGATCACTTCATCACCTCAAACAACCTCCATGTTCATCTTCAGATCAAACAATTAAAACTTAACAGCAAGATGGTGGTAAATTTTCATAAAGCTACCGTTTCACAAATCACAAATGCCCAAGTTCACTGTGGTTGGCCATTATAGTAAAAGACAGTTGACCGAGAAAACAGTTTTCATGTAGCAAATCTGATCGGCAGATTAGGTACCAACTAAAAAACATGTAACAGTCAAGTTTCAATAGCAATAGCAACAGTAGTTACCCACCACTAGATTAGTATCCTTCCGAACTGCCCGATAGTCATTTGTGAAGGTTGAACCATCCTTCAGCAGTAATTCAAAGAACTGCTCAGCAGTGCATGGGAAAGTATCCTGAGAATTTTCTCATTAGAAACTTTAGCCCATTTAGAAGTTCAAATCACAAAGATCAAGGTGAAAAAAATATGTACATTATATATACTGGATAATACATCCTCCTTGATAAATGGCTGAAACTTCACTTCACTTTTAATTGGAACCTTATCTTGACCCTTGGGACGCCTCAGAGAACTGCTATGGGCACGTAGAGCAGATTGCTCCTTTTCCTGTACACCAAAAAAAAAAATCAAAAATCAAATGGAGAATAAACAACGCATAAAAAGATTAAGTTAAATAGTTCCAAAGATTTAGCACGCTACAAATGAAAATACATCCTTTCTTTAACTTATCAACCCATTGGAAAGGAAGTACCCAGAAACAACCAGCTTTCAAAGGAAAACTGCTCTATGCTTCCGTGAAAGTACTGGACATTCAACCTAAGCACGAGAACAAAACAAAAGCAAGAAAAACCTGTATATCCAAGAAAGTAAAACACATACTCATGTGCATTGGAGTTCTATATTTATCCTGCCACACAGTATTATAAATGCTGTCAATAGAATATGCAGAGAATTTTTATGGGGAGCTAAAAGTAGTGGCAGAGCAATATATCTAGTTAAATGGGAAGATATTTGTCAGAAAAAGTCAGAAGGAGGGTTAGGTATCCGGGATATCAAAGTCTGGAACAGAGCTGCCATACTTAAGCAGGTTTGGTGTTCAGCACAGAAAACTGACAGTTTATGGATCAAATGGATCCACTCTGTCTATTTGACAAAAACTGATTTATGGAATGCAATGCCCAAATCGGATAGCAGTTGGCATTGGAAACAGATTCTGAAAGTGAGGGATCTTGCTAGGGGTGGGTTTGATGGTAATAGATGGACAGGTGCTGTTAATGGTAGTTATTCTATCAGTTCTGGGTATAATTGGTTGAGGGGCAGTAAAGAAAAATGGAAGGGATCACAATGTGTATGGTCGTCTTTATCATTGCCTAAACATGCCTTCATTAGTTGGCATGTATGGAGGCAAAAAATTTTGACTAGAGACAGATTAAAGGCCATGAATGTTCCTGTGGTAGATTGTTCATGTGTTTTGTGTGAGACAGAGGAAGAATCAGCTCAGCATCTGTTTTTTGAATGTTGTTATGCATATGATGTTGTGCTACAAATTCAAAACTGGTTAGGCAGTAGAAGGATGGACAGGAGGATGGATAGGTGGCAGGCACAGATACTGCAAATCTGGAAAGGAGCTAAGTTGAGAAGGGCTATACTCTGGACAGCAGTTAATGCAGTACTTTATCATGTTTGGGAAGAGCAGAACAGGAGGATGTTTATAGGTGTGGTAAGACAAGTTTCGGATTTGGTGAAGCTGGTTCAGTATGAGTTAAAAGTTAGACTTCTGGGAAAACAGAAAAGACCCTGGTCTAATGAAGAACGAAGAATTTTGGAAAACTATTCTGTGTGTTAGTTTTTTTAGCTCGCATGTATATTTGATGTATATACTTAGTTCAGGAAGTTTTTGATAGATAAGGAAGTTGTAAACTGGTGACTATAGTGTGCTTTCTTGCTCAATTTATTAATAGAATTAACCTTTCACCAAGGATTTCCTCATAAAAGAAAACAAGTTCAATCGACAGCAACCAAGGCATTCATTTCGTACATCTGTTCAGAAAAAAAAATTCAGCAAGACAAACATCTTGACACATTATATTTCTTTTCAAAGCAGAAAAACATGTTAGGTCTAACATCAGGTTTCTCTTTCTTTAATCATGTTCTAAAAATAAGAAGACAAGAAAGGTTTTCAAAAAAAAAAAAAAGAAATAAAAATAAAATCCAGGTTTTCAAAACCAACAATAAATGAATTAAGAATCCAGAAACCACTGCAAGAGAAACGAACACCAAAAATTAAGAGAGAAAATGGTTTTCAATGTGCTGTGTAACAAAGCAACTGGGCAACCAAAACTTAACAGCACCTTTGAGAAAACATCCATAACCACATTGAAGACGGTTGCTATATACAGACAAAAAAAGGCCATGAAAATTCAGGAAGCCAAATGATTCCACCTAGTTTACCAACATCACTTTAAAATCAAATTACATTTAAAGAAGCAATTGGCTTTAGAGCCGTGGCTTAGGTTTGCATAATCAGGCAGAGACAGAGGAAAATAAATAAAGATAATAAAAACCAAATCATTGCTTTGAAGTTAATCTACATACGTTTTAGAAGGTGAGACAGGGAAAGGATCACTTAGAAACAATGTTAAAATGTAAGGGACGATAACCTAATCACACGGGTCCTATAAAAGTTGCTGCAAGATACTCATTGATAGATTCTATTGGTTGAAAAGTTTGACGGCTAGTCAAGAAAATCAACAATCAACAAACTAAACAAAGGAAATAAGGCTGAAATAAGACTTTGTTAGACTAAGGTAACTAATCATGACTTAATTCACAAAACTACAGTCAAATAACTGTTTCTCATTGAGAAGAGCATAAATACCCTCAATGCCCTATAACTTTTCCATTTCAATACTTACAACATAAAAGTAATAATCTCAAAAGAAAAAAATCCAGCAAGCACTGACGAGACCATCCTTAAATCAAACCTTCCCGTTATTGACAGCACCGACATATCTAATCAAATAAAAATGACATGAAGAAAAAGAAGCCTTTACCCACTATGTTGGGTTGGATATGTGAATCATATGTCCCCATCATGCTCGGTCGAAACACATACTTTCCTCTTTATCAACATAAGCCATGTCTTCTCTGCTACTTTCTTTTCAAGTCCTCCCCCAGTATGACTCAGTCATGAATTTAAATTTAAATGAAGATCAGTGCGTTGATAGAATACAATAGTGACATATGATCCATAGAACCAACCCAAAGTTAGATTAGGGGTTGTTGTCTTGTTTCAAAATGTTATGCATTAATAATGGTCTTCTGTAAATACTCAAGGCAAAAAGGTATAGGCTCAAAGCTGATCTTTGATACCAACCTATAGTATCAGGGATTCAACCTGACGATCTCATTGCCATCTTTTACATGTTACATCTTTACACATATCTTTTACAACTGCCATAAGCTACTGATATTTCTTTATTTCACAAAACCTACCATATCACATTTGAAATTGATTTAACAAAGGTTTAATAGTTGAATCTCAAGTGACAGGAACAAACATATAAGAAACAATTTCAAAAAATCTTAAGCTCCTAACCACAGGTGGAAAAGTACTAAAAATATTGAATTCCATAATTGTAGTGAGACATATTCCACAAACATATGAGGACCATGAAAATCACCTTCTTTTCGGCTTCCAGCATGGTGTGATAGTTCTTTGCAGCACGCTGTAAAGCTCTCAAAGCATGGTTTCTATTCCAAAATGACGCAAATTTATATCTAACTCGACCTGTAAATTTTCAAACACGGTAAACTAATGCATAACCATCAAATTTTCCCTTTCAAAAAAAAAAAAAAAAAAAAACCCATCAAATTTTCAACGAAACAGACATGGTAAATATAAGAAAACCAAGGTGACTTCTCAGCTCATTCTTGAAAGTAGAAAACACTAAATAATGTGAGTTCCATAAAACAAAGAGTGGCTACTGATAAAAACAGTTACCATTAATCATTCTGTCAATATACCCTCTAGTTAATTTTCCCTGAATAATAATATTTGTTATCACAAAACAAAGTAACAGAAGGTAAGTGCACTGCTACACAGTGCCAGAAGTCGATAAAAAGATACATGTGTTTTTCAACATAAACTGAAGCTTCAGTTCAATGACGGAAAGTTTCACATCCACATGTTAGTAGAAAGTCCGGCTGAACGCACATACTGGGATAAAGTTGATAGTACATTTCCCTTTAAAAACTATAATGATGATGCTAATAACAGCGATACTATGGTGGAACTCCCACAAAAAAAAAAAAAAAAAAGATATCTGTCTAAAGTAAGCCTGATAAAAACACATCTACCACTCTATACTGTACTCATTAGAGTACACATCCCAAATGTGTCATACATAGCAGGGGAAGAGAAGAACATGCATGTGGTCAACAGGAGCCATGTCAATATAGCCTATTCTTCACGACTACTTACTGTGTGTCGAGCTCAAATAAGAGAAGGAAACATGAACTGAAACACTGCTAATGCAAAGCACTAAATGGAGTTGGCAAAGGGCTGAAAACTTGCATCATCAAAGCAGAAAGTACTTAATTTCGAAGTAATGCTTCATCTCAAGTCAATTCTTAATCACAAGAATAAAAGTGTTCCTGCCCATGCGAATCATGAAATCTCCTTTCTAGAATTCCACAACCACAATAATATCACGTTTCCAGTTATAAGTTTTTATGCAACTGTTCCAAACAGCCTCTTCTTCATGTCAGGCCTAAAAGCAAACAATGCTTTTTGTAATGAAGTGGCATTCAAACAACGCTTCCAGTTATTTACCATTTACCCAAAAAGAAGTTCTATTCGTCAAACAGGAAATATTATCTGGTCTATTAATACGTTAACAAGTAATCCAGGGTGAGATCGAATTCCACATGAATAGCTTCTGAAATTGAAAAGGTGTGAAGGAATAACAACCATCAGGGCTTCCTAGAGGTGGCACTCCAAGTCCACCAGCACCCATGCGAAGAACTATTGTGATAGCCGGATTTATGACTGCATGCTGGCTTCTCTTTATCTGAAAAAATGGTAGCATCAGTCAAAGCATCATTAGATTTACCTTTCAATTTTTTGGAAAGAAAGTATTAAAAAGAAATAAAGAAGTTTGTACCTCGTCGATATCTCCAAAAGGTATAATAACCTGCCAACCAAAAGTCAAAGTTTGTCATTGAGAAATGCTGAGCTGCAGTGCATTAGCAACAAAATATAACAACAGTTAGCAACTGCAGCGTGACCGTTACAATGAAGAATATGGTAAGCAGACGATGTGAAAGTTCGAAGGCAAGGCATCATCAAACTACAAAAGTATTAGCCATAATATGGCAAGCAGACTATGTGAAATACCATTGCAAGGGAGACAAAGTTTCTCCACTTATCATCAAACTGCGAAAGTGATAGCCCGCAACAAAAAAACAAGGGTGTTTGTTTATTTTGCTCTCTCTCTCCACACAGAGAAAAACATAGGCATAGATATACAGTTTCCACGAACGTGAGATAATTCAATAACCAAGAATAGAACTTGCAATTTAAGACGTGAAGTTAACCTTCATTTGCTTCGAGAATACATTAGAATGAAAACAGATGTTCCACGCGGAGACGTACATTCGACCATGATAGAGAAATGACCTCTCAAGTGCACATGAATAACTGTGCTCAACAACCTGGTCAAATTTGATCCATGTCAACAAAAATGCTTCTGCATCAGTAAACTTTCCTTCGAAGAGTGCTGGAAAAAAGAAATAGTTATGATAGTAGTAGTGCTGGTCTTGCCTCATCTGGAAGAAAACCAAAAATTGTTTGAAGCGGCCCTGGTCTTTGATGAACAACTGTTGGACCCTCTTTATCGGTTGGCCTCTTCCTTGGGTTGGTACCACCATATCCGTTCAATTCCCTGAACATAACATCTTATTTAGTAACAGTAAAAAAGTTTACTGGAGAGTTAGCACGGAGATAATGCGATCAGAGTAGAGAAAACACTGATCCACAAGAAAAGATGATGACATTCCATTAATGACAACCATGAAAACCCAATAAAAGAATATCACCAAAAAAAAAAAAAAAAATTAAACCCAATGAATCACTTTATAACTTAATTAATACTTTTGTCAGCATATACGGATATCTGATTCTATTCATAAATTAACTATCCTCCAGATACCATTTTAGTCTAAGAATGCTGACAAACAAACTATTTTGAAACTCAGTTACACACCAAATCTGATACACCTGAAAATATATGTATCCACCCAGAAGATTTTCCTTTAAATTTAAAAAGAAACACCAGGGAAACAAAATGCTTCAGGATTATATGCTACATGAACCACACACCCACATACACACACCCACCCACAAAGTACCTGGAAGAGTTCCTATGGAGCTTAATTGTCTTGATATGGAGACAGACCTGAAAAGAACAATGCTAGCTTTTTGAGTAATGGCAAGGATGGATGGACAACATAAGTACAATATAAGTCTTAAGCATGGATGTGAATTCAAACAATTGTCTACCTGGCCAGATGTGCTATCCAATGAGTACCATACTGCACCAGTTTGGCCTTCGTTTTCAATAGGAATAGTTACAGAACCAAGAACTGCACTTTTCCAAATTATGTCCCAATCATATATAGTCACATTAATCTGCCCAGAAATGTAGGAAAGTAATATCAAACCAAAATTCAGATTGGAATCCATAAAATTTACCAGTTAGCATGTAACAAACTAAAAAAAAAAAAGAATATTGATCCTCTCCACCAAAGTGAAAAATTACCTGATCACTTAGAACTACTACTAATTATATCCATTTCACTAATAGTTTAACAAATGCAGTGCTGAAAGCAGCAGTAAAGGAAAAGTATTCACCGTTCTTGAAAAATCTAGCGTCCAAGTTCTCAAATTTGCATTGAGGAAATTCGACCATCTATTGTATCTCAAGTAAACGTAAATCACATGAAAAGACATTTAATACTGCTACATGACACTGAAGTAAGAAAGTATACATTTATTGGGAAATTGGAGAAAGACAAATCATCTTTTGCTACTCTTTTACATTGGACCGGGAGCCCGTACTGCCAAGGCGAATAACATGCATAATGTAGTCTACAGCAAAAAGAATAGCTCGGATGAGGCATACTAAGATACAGATCTAAGAGGGTTAGTTGATTATTCCAAATTTGATAAGCACCACACTAATTAGCTATATCATATATCCGTAATATGCACTTTGACTGAATTTTGAAAGCTGATAATTCCCTATGGCATTTGTCTCTGATTCACCTTGTCTTCCCAAACTGAATACTGATGATGGCCTTACACACATAATACATGAAAGTCGGTTAATTCATTTTGCAACTGCAAGCCACACCTTGCATATTGTGCCTTCAGGGCTTTGCTTACACTTTCTCTAAGTTAATCTTTCCATCTTCTCCAAGGTTCATTTGAACAACTTATTTAAATTGAGTTACTATTGGGACATAGCACCAAAATTCATAGATTTTCTGCCAAATTATGGTTTTGAAAGTACTCGAAGAACACATTCATTCAGTCATTATGTCAATTTACACATACAATTACAACAGAGGAACATTCTTACAGTTATTTCTTACAACGATTAAGTGCTTATCCAAATTAAATACCAGATTCACTGCCTCTTGGAGAGAAACATGGCTAAAAATGGTTGGTACTCAAAGTAGATGAAAAGTTAAGAGGAAAATAGTGAAAGTAGGTAGACTGGTAGTCATAATGCATTAATGCCACTGACTAAAGGTAGCATATATGTCATACAGATAATAGATAAGTGGCATAAATATAGATGATTCTCCCAGCAGAGACACTTACGAATTATCCAGGACTACTCCATGGTCCATAATACAAAAGTACATCAAAACAACAAAGAAATGTGTATTAATTGTAACCTGATTGACTTAGAAGACAGACTAATACTCAACCCAAAATGTCCAAATGTGGATGAAGGTTTCGGAACTAAACATAAAAAGCCTCCAGAAAGCATAGCAAGCCAAAAGATTGAAGTTATTTACCTCTACAGGAAGTTCATCAACAGGAAAGTTAAACTCCTCTCCCCACATCGGATTTCTTGAACCAGGAACCATTGAGCTGTATTAAGTAACAAAAGATGGGTGTCAGCTATGCCCATAAGCACAGGTATGCAATCATAGATGCAGCTTTACCAAGCAGGGAAGAAAAAAAATCATTCAATACTTGAAAGAATACCTAGAGAACCTGAACAGCATTTCTGCCAAATCTATGGATACATCTTTCTATAGTATACAATCAAATTCAATCTAAAACATACTTGGTCTTAGAACTAGAATTTCTTTAAGGTTGTGAATTGCAAAAGCCAAGTAGAAACTACTCAATCTCCTTATGCATAATGATGTCACTATAAATAAATGCCCATAATTCTCACATTGGGGCTTTCTCTAAATTTCCAGGATCGAAAGTCTAAATTAAAACATCTAAACATTGGCACTTTAGTATAACAGGGACTACAATCCTGTAAAACATCTCCAATATTAAAAAATACCGAATTTTGTGATTGTTCTACATTAATGCCAATTAGAGGAGGCAAGTACGCTAAAAAGAGATTCTGCTTGTTCTTGTTATCTCTATTCCTTGACATTAGAACTGTAACAATGGAAGTTTCCTCTACCCATACAAACAAGATGATACTTATTTGAAATCCGCCGACCCTAATGCATCATCAGAATAGTTCTGCGGGACACTGTGTATCGCATTACTCTTAACTGTTTGATTTTAGTTTAAGATATCCAAAAACTATCCAGTTTCTAAAAGCAAACGGATAAAATACCCTTCACATGCAAATAAGGACTATAGAATACAATGGAATCAAGATCAATTATATCTACCTAAATCTCTTTTCTGAACCACATGTGATGATTGCATAAGGATCTGATGTACCATTTAAATTCGCACCCACAAGATTCTTAGCTGCCAGGAGTTCTACCTGCCAAAAAGTAAAAATTCCATCAGTCAAGCAAACTGACCAACACATACGGTTAAAATAATTGAAATCATCTTTAACTCCTTCGAAGAATAAAAGTTACTAAACTAAAAATCAGAGCGAAACAATAGTTACATAAAAAAAATTACCTTAACCATGTACGCAGAATTAGCCTGAGGCTCTCCCTTGATTTGACTTATCTACAAAATATAGGCACGACTGGATGTCAAACAACTGGAATATTATTCCCGAAATGAATAATTAGAAAAAAATAGCAACTACTCAAGAAAATAAGTACCAGTATATCCCCTTATAAACGGCTTATGAAAGAAAGAAAATATGCCATGCATTATCTCGTGAAGCTGTTGGTGGTACCGTAGAATTCTACAAACAAGGATGTAGTGGTTTGCTACTGTTTGTGATTGTTTTCAGTTCTTATTGGTCAAAAGAAAAAGTAAGGTGAGATCAATGTTTGGAAGGATAGAAATTAAATTCCACCATTTATAGCTGTGTCTCCGCACAGGGAGCTGACAGATCTCAATGCAGATATTAGATTCAGAGGATCAATATTCCATTGACGCAACTTCCATAGTTCCATCTGACTCAAAACCAATCAATTTAATGTCAAGACAGCTTCTACCCCTAAGGCCTTAGACCTTCAGATACTCAACACAAGGTTTAAGAGGGAAACAAAATCTCTTCCCAAAGTAACATTCTTAACAGCGGTAAACTAATTAGTCATTCTTTTAGAAGCAATTAAGAGAACTGTTATTTTGGTGACACCAGTGTGCAACCACAAAACCACCATATTCACATCACCATACGGTATCCTAGTAGGACAAGCTTGAACGGGAATGTAATAAACTGAAAATACTAGACAAAAAAGTAATCAAGAAATGATCAATACATTTAATAGGCCACGGCCAAAAACTACATGGAAGATAGTAAAACACCAACTCTGATTCTTGTTCTGTTTCATAGCATTTCAACAAGTGTATTTAATTAGAGCATAATATAATTTTCAGCAAAAAAATAGCCAAGTAAACACTATTTTGCCCCAGCCTGGTGATCATTGAAATTCATTGTAATGAACTAAGCTGAAATTCTCTACTCCTTGGCCACAATTGTGTGCTTCCAAATGGCCCTATATGCTCTTCAGTGTCCGAACTCCAAAACAAATGGCTTTAAAATTTGTCTGCAAATATTACATTCACCTAAAGATTCCACAGTTTTAGGTGAGTTTGCTACCACAACAGGTCAGGGTATAAGCTTCCAGGTATCAAGCAAATGTTTTTTTCTTACATTTAAAGGGCAATAAGACGTTAAAGTTGGTGTGCTGAAAAAAAACTTATTAAATGAAAGGGGGAACATTTGAAGTAACAATTTAGAGCAACAATGTGGAACGTAAGAAAACCGAAATCAAATAAAGGGGCAACATTGAAGTCACAATGTGGAGTGTAAGGAACAATCGCAATTAAATTAAGTTAAGATTACTTCAAAAACATATCAAACCATTTTAAAACACTGTTTTTCCAAAGGGACAGGTGACTGTCTACATGTCCTTGAGCGTCTGAAATAAGCAATCAAGTGTCGCCAGCCCCTCTGGAAGACTTTCAGGCTTTGTTTCGGTGAATCTTCAAACCAAAAGGACTCATAAACAAAATTTAGCCTTTAAAATAGTCAAATTGATAACTTACGAGCTAACGTGGAACAAGATCATCATATGCTTATAGTTGAATGGAAGATCAGAATTAAGCCCGTTTAGTTTAATCTCCTAATTGACAGAACTCTGGTTACATAACCTCAAAGAACTTGAACTAAACAAATTTTTCATCAACCACCATCAAAAGATTTGTTAAAACACTTTGAAACAATCAAGGATCATATAGTTGGTTATTGATTTTCAATATCCCGAAAAAAAAAAAAAAAAAAGGCATTTGGCATCCCAAACTCAATCACAGTCTCACAAAACGTTCTCCTTGATTGGCATTATTCCATAACAAAGATTCATTCTTGAACAACCCAGAAAGTCACACAAATTAACCCCGGAGGCGGGTCCCTGATCATTTCACTCCAATCATCGCAACTTTGACCAAATTATTACTTAGGATCACTTGGAATTTCAAATAAAGGAAAAAAAGAAAAAAAAACGGACAAACATAACATATCCAACAAAAGGATCATGAAATTCACCATGAGCATCAAGAGGTGAAGAAAAAACTAAAACCTCAAAGCCCAAAAAAAAAAAAAGAAAAAAAAATGAAACGAGAGCGGGAAGTAGAGAAATTACTGAGACAGCTTTATCTTTTTCCTCAATTTCATCGCCGCCAACCAGCAACCGATTGTCACCGTTATTCCCTTCTCCGCCGCCGGAGGGCCCACCAAAAGTAAAGAACCAGTAGGCCACCACCACGAAAGCCGCCGTGGCCACCGTGACTTGCACCTCCCACCATGACGGAATCAGAAACTCCAAAACCGCCGTCTCAACACTCACCATGCTGCTCTATTATTATTCTTTTATTGAAATCTTCAATCATCCAACCCAGAAAACAAAATCAAACCCAAAAAAAAAGGGTTCAATTCTTCCTTGAACCCTATGAAGAAGATGAAATCAATAACATATTACAGTGATAAGTATGTATAATTATGTACATTTGTTGGTTGAATTTCGTGAATTTTTATGCAGAGGCAAAGACATATACTATTCTTTTTCGTTCCACTCTGTGTGTATTTGGACTTCGGAATTGAACGGGTGACATGGACGATGTGGAAAGTTAACGTGTAAAAGTGGATCAATTCCTTGATTGGTTGAAATGACAACTACAGCCTTGGTTCTATTCCAAGGAGATTTGTACCTTTTTGCTTCTATGTTTCATTGAAGTTGATAGGCATAGCTGAGAATGTTTTTTATTTTTTTTGGTCTTATTTTAATATTTATTTTGCTATATAATTTCAGTTTCGATAAAGTAATCAGATAAAATAAATTAAAATTGATATTATAAGGGACCTACAAAACAACATTTTTTCCTAAATTAATGCTTATATAAAAGGAGTCAAAGTTCGTTGTAGTTATTTATTAGTAAAATGCTAGTATTTTATATTTTTCTTCAATTTAAACAAATAAATAAAAGATCCTATCTTGAGGAAGCCAAAAAGAAAAAAATTGTGAATCAATGACCACAATTTAATTTAAAAGCCCATTTGAATTATCTTGCTAATGAAACTTATTTGTGGAAATTGATGAGATTAGATTAGTCCTGTAATACACTTAGTTCTCACCAAATTATAATAGACTTTTCCATTTTATATTTAACGAAGTAGGTGCATTAATTAAAAAAAGGGGGGGAAATACAACATTACAAACCATCTCAACCCTATCATTAGTGGAAGATGTGTCAAACCATTAGACATCAATTAGTACAACAATTATCATTAGTAATTAAGTAATAGATACTTAAAAAGAAGGATAGTTTAGGAAAGATAAATATGAAAACAGGAATATTAATTTTGTCTAATTTTGAAAACACTGCACTCTGGAACAAAATATTTTCAAGTGAAAGGGACATCTTGGTGGAAAAAGACTAAGGAGAAAGTATTGTTTAGTTGGCTTATTGCCATCATTCTCTTTTTGTCCAAGTCTCCAACTGTTTATATGTTTTAGTTTCTTGATTTTTCTACCTGGAGTTTTTGCGGGTGCTTCGGCCAAAAAATTTAAAATAATTGATGTGGACAAAAAAAATTTACTTTTTTTTTGACAAAATTAGTTGTCTCGCATTTGTCAAATCCGAGAGCCTAATTAAACAGACTCTCGGATTTCCCAGATCTAAAATAATAAAATATAATAAAAATTATATATTTTTGTTATTTTGTAAAATATGAAAAATAAGATCAACAGGTGAACAGTAACGTCGGATTTGAGAAATCCGAAAGGTTTTAAAATTTAATATTCCAAAAATACTTTTAAAATGGTGGACAAATTCAAAATTTAGAACAGTGGTTCCGGATTTGCCAAATATGACATCTAGGGTTTAGGGTTATGATTCGGATTAGCCAAATCCGAGAACTGCCTTTCAATTCAAGGGTAATCCGTCGTTGTGGATAAGGTTGTTGGATGTATTAAATCGGATGGGATAAGGTGACGGACATTTGAATTTGCCAAATCCGAGAGCCTCACATGAATAGTGACTCTCGGATTTGGCGAATCCGAAACAACGTGATATAAAAAGAAAAAGTTGCAGCTTCCTTTCAGATTAGATTTTTCAATTTTTGAGGGCTAGGGAAGGTTGTGGCCGGAGTTCTTCGGATTTTGGACGCACATTACCGCTAAATGCAACAAGAATCGTTATTCTAACGAGGTTAGTCATTAAATTAATGTTTTATTAGTTATTTTGTTGTGTATTTATATTGTTTGAAGATGGAAGATTGGTAGGGCTTAGTATTGATGATTGTGAATGTAATATGGTAATGTAGATGTTGTTGTTGAGTTTATAGGTTAGGATTATTATTGTTTTAAGAATTGATAGGGGTTAATTTAACTAATTTGGATGGATTTTGTTTGTATGGATAATTGATAGGATTTAGGGATAATTTAATGAGAAAGGAGTTGTTGTTGTTTTTTTTAGGTGAGAATTGTTGTGTGTGTGTGTGTGTGTTTTTTTTTTAATGAGATTACGATTAATATAATTAACGATTTTTTTGTCCCTTAATAAACAGTTAAAATGTCCACGCACGGCTATACATACTTAATTTGTTTCATAGAAGCAAGTATATGATAGAGAATGGTGTAGTGAACACATTTGAGAACAAGCCGGACGGCACTCTTGTTATTGATAGTAGGTTGTCATATGATGAGTTGGTTGGTTTGATTTGTGTGACGTTCAGTTGGAATCTTGAAATAGTTAGGAAACTCCACATTTCGTTAATATTTGTGACTCATGGTGTAAGGCGCGTCATGAAGATAAAGAATGATTCACATGTTGGGATCATCTATCACCTCGAGCCAATGACAAGTGTGGATTTGTACATTGAGACGGAGGATATCACTAACCAAGAAGATGGGAATAATCATTATGGTGGATCTTTCTTTGCACAAGATGATCACATGGATGAGGGTGAACAAGATGGTCCAAGGCAAGAACAAGCAAGTATTTCACGGGTTCATGAAGAAGATGGTGAAAATTTATTTGCACAAGATGATCATATGAATGATAATGATTCCGACTACGTAGCTCCAAGCAAAGCTCAGAAGCACGAGATCCTAGTGATGATGATGAAAGTGATGATGAAGAATTGGTAAATGAAGAAATAGAACTAAATCTATTTCTCCAGCACCATGTGTATAAGGAAATGGGTGAAAGGAATACGTCGTGTGTTTACAAGGATGATCTTGATATAAAAATTTGGGACGAGACTTTCAAAGGGATGGGCATTAAAGTTTGTTTCAGGTCTCAAGGAGAAATGAAACATGCCGTGAAGTTGTGGAACATCCACCATAAAAGGGAGTTAAAGGTTATCGCGAGTAATCCTAAGACGTGGGCGTTTGATGTAGGACATTAGATTCCCCCTTTCCCAAGATGGCGAACCTATATGCAAATAGAGGATCCGCGTGTTACTAGTAAAGCATGACTTGCATCAAATAGTGAAATGGCTGTCCGCACACAATTGCATGAGGGTGGTTAACGATAATGACAACCATTGTGCGGACTCGACATTTATTGCTAGACTAATCATGAGAAAGGTTGCAAACAACGTGGATTACATGGTAAAATCGGTGCAAAAAAATGTGAAGGAGTTGGTAAAAGTTGATGTCCCGTACAAAAAGGCGTGGAACGGGAGGAGGAAAGCCATAGAGGCGGTTTATGGTGATTGGTCCTCCAATTTTGAAGATCTTCCTAGGTAAATTTCAATTGTGATAAATCTCAATAAATTTATTTTATTTACTTGTATTGACATATATTTAACTTGGGCAAACTTGATACACAGGTATATTGAAGCACTTAAAGAGTACTAATCCTGAAACTGTAGTGGAATGGGAATGGAAGGAGGGAGAAGAAGGTTGGAATATGGGAAGAAGGACTTTTAAATATGTGTTTTGGTCATTTGCACCAGGGGCTGCGACTTTCCTTGAATATCCGCCGGTGATTTCTGTTGATGGAACACACCTACGTGGGGGATACAAGGGTAAGTTGCTAGTTGCTGTGGTGTATACTGCAAACAAACACATTTTACCGGTTGCATTCATCGTGGTGGATGAAGAGACCACTGAAAGTTGGACATTTTTCATGAAATATTTGAAGTATCATGTTGTGGGTGATACCAAAGTTAGTGTGATTTCTGACCGTAACGCTGGGCTTTTGAGGGCAATGTCGAAAATATCATAATGTAGCAATTTGGGTGATGGGGCCCACGTGTATTGCCTCTGGCACGTTCGGAGCAATTTAGTGTCGAAGTATAGTGAGTGCGAGAATCAAACGGTTATGCCAAAATATGGGAAAGACGCTTAATTTTGAAAAAATCAAGCGACTGAGGCAAGAGCTCCGCGAATTAAAACCTGAAGCATGGGAGTATCTTCGTAACATAGAGGGGTGTAATTGGACTCGTTTGAAAGTCGGACGTCGTCGTTGGGGAGTCACAACTACCAACATTTCCGAGAGTTACAACAATGCCCTAAAAGGAATCCAGTTTTTGCCCATTAGAGTTATGATCGATGCTACATTCCACAAAATCGTTAAATTTTACCGAGAAGAATTGTTATTGGCGACGAGTTGTGGTACACCCATCCCCACTGAGAGATGGAAAGTCTACAAAGAGAAGAACAACAAAGCCGTCACCTATGATGCTGAACTGTTCGATGGCGACGATGATAGTTGGTTGGGTTTTTGGCCGACACAGCCTAGTGGGAGGGGTGGGACGGTGTATACGGCTACCTATAACGCCAAAAGGTATTCGTGCAAGAAATAGCAAGAGTACCGGATGTTGAGTATGCATGCACTTTCCATCGCACGTAAAAAAGGTGATCGGCATATTTTCCTATACCATAAGTGTTGGAGGCGCCAAACATGGATCAAACAATTCGAATACAATGGTTTTTCATCGGTGCCTGATGAGCGACAATGGCCTATAGTTGATTGGAAACGCTATCCTAATTACGAGAAGCTCGTGCAAATTGGCAGTCCGGACCGACACCAAAGAAAGAGATGCAAGATACAAATGGATTACCGTGCTCGGCGAACAAGTAATGAAAATGGATTACTGTGCTCGCGATGCGGAGGAGATCACGATGCTAATTCGTGTCCTCACTCGCATCCCCAAGTAGATAGAACACGTTTGGTGGACGAATGGGAGCATGAAAGTGATTAGTTTGTTGTTATATTTTGTAGGACACCTTATTATGCAGTGTTATCTCTTGGATTGATCATTTCATTCATATCTTGTTTGATGTTTGTATTGAACTATTATCATAGAGTATAGTGTGATGGAAGTTGTTGGATGTTTACA